AGATCAAGAGACGTATACATAAAATATATAATAAATAAGGGACTAGATACCACTTTGCTGCAAAAATTAAACAATACTACATCACACAGTCTGCATTTACGATCCCATTTCTGTAATCCGAATACTCAGTTTAGAGTCTATCTCTATAAGTTCAAAGCCATCCTGGCCTACATAGCTAGTGCAAAGTCAAATAGTGCTAATTGGACCCTATTCTTAAAGAAAGTAATAGTTGGCTATTGTTGAATTCATGAGTTCTATATTTGAATGAATAAGAAAATTAACACTTAAACATAATTTAAAATTTTGTGATTGTGATAATTAAACTTAAAATAAATTTTATTTATTGATACCATACCATAAACAAAAGAAATTCTTAAAAAGAGATGAAATTCTTCAGGGCAATATAACAAAACCAGTTTATTTTGACAGATTTTATTTGACAAATAGTGAATTTTATTTTTTTCTCATTTCTTGTGTCAGAATAGAAACTTGTCTGCTGACTGCCCAGTTCATATAATCTTTTTCCACACAGTACCACATTTCAGTTTCAGTTTCTTATCTACTTATATATGAATGATTATTTTCAATCAAGTATTTATTATGGACAGAAGTAGAAGTCAGCTTATATATTTTTGGAATATTGATATTGTTACATATTTTTTAAAAATAGGGTACTAGTTACTAAGTAGATCACAAAGAACCTATTTGACTCCCAGAGATGTAGTTAAAGTTACTTGAAAAACACATTGTTTCATAGAAACAACATTCAACAAAGCACAGTTTCTAGATAATTAAGACAATTTGAAAATCAGATAAATGAGCATGGATTAGAACAAGAAGTAAAATCATAATTTTATGAGTCTAAGTATTGAAATGTTCACCACTGTAGCATAAAAATGTAGCAATTTGTCATTTACAGTATATTTATTATTACTCATACACATAACTGTATGATGCCTAAAGCAGGGACTATGTTGTTGCAAGACTATTTATTTTAATATAGACAATCACATTTTAAGCTCAATCCCATACACTGGCAGTCCTAAATTCCCCCTGGGTCCTAAAGCTGTTAAAAATGTTTCTCCTGTTCTTATGCATCTCCATGAATCTATATATTGCAATTTCCTTTTACAGGCTAATTAGAGAAGCAAGATTTACAAAGGCCCAGGAGTCAGATCAATGCTACAAGAACATTTCAATTTGTTTCACTGGGTCGTATGAGTGAGTCATGATCAAGAGTGAGAAAATTATTTTTGGAACTGTTCCTCCTGATAGATTAACACCCAGAAGGTTGAAACTTTGGATAAGCAACTGAACTAACGTAAGCAAGTAGCAGATCATTGAACGGTATATAATTAAGGCTGGAACTGCAGGTATTGAAAAATGAAGGTATAAATCACATAAGAAATTGTCTACATGGTTCTTGATTCTCTTCAAATCATACTTGAAACTCAAATTATAGAAGGCAGATGATATGATGCCTATAACCACTTCTACAAAACAATACAGAATTAATATTACATTCACTTAAGAGAAACATGTCTTGTCAGAACTGACTCACAATTTATTAATTTGTCTTTCACTTATGTCATACTCATATAAGACGTACTAACCCATGTTTTTATTGAAACAATGAAAAACTATTCATAACTCTTTCATAGACATTTCTAGCCTTAATTGCCCCATAAATGATGGTCAATATATTTTGCAGTGATGAACTTGTATGAATAATGCCTCTTGTAGAAGAAAGCAAGATAACTTTCTCTTTCTTGTTTATTTTATTTCTTTAATTTAAAACAATATTATATCATTTACCCTTTGCTTATTATCCACTCACCCTGCCCAAGTTACACCTACTACCTCTCAAATTCATGCTCTTTTTCTTTAGTTATTTTTATAATACACATATAGTTGTATTTACACACACATTCATATTCCAATCTCATGTCAGAATTGTACTTGTTTAGGCAGCCACATTGTTAAGGTATCAGGAACGAAATGCTCTTCTTATTTCCAGAAGAAACAATATCACAGATGATTTTCTATTTTCCAGCACTTAAAATCTTCCTGCCTCTTCTTACATGAGCTAGAGTTTGGCAGAAGAAGTTTTATTGCAGATGTAATTACTAGGGCTTGACACCCCACATTCCTTTGCTCCCTGCCTTTTTTCTTATTAGAGTTCTCTATATAGCCTGTCTGAAAAAAGTAGAAGCTTTGGTTTTTAGAAATGAGAGCTAGGCACACCTGTGAGTATAGGATACACATATGCATGGTTAAGATTTATGGTAGTGTAGTAAATTGTTGTTTCTCTTCTCTGAGCTTACTTGCCCCTGTGTACTTTGCTAAGTTGTCAGTAACACACATAATTATATTCCTGTTGTGGGGTCCTTAAGTACATTAAACAGCTCTTGATTACTGCCATTGTATTAGTGCTAGTAATGCATGTTTAGGGTTACTTTGCTGTACTGACCATTGTTGTGATTCAAAGCTGGGATAACTTAGTAGGAATACTTATTTCCTTCTTTTCTTATCAGTAGCATTTACAGAAACTTCAAATAGTATGAAAGCCACTCCCCATGGAGACAATTTTGGGTTACATCAAGCTTGGGTCTTCTTAGTCATGTATCCAAAGGACATTATGTATTCAACAATACAGACTTATCAACAAACTCTAGAAGTTAAGTAATGATGACATCAGCAGCCTATACGGGGAAGTCTTTGGACCACCATGAACAACAACTCAAAAAGAGTTTTCTCATCCCTAGTATTTGTTTATTTGTTTTGTGTTTTGTTTGTTTGTTAATTAGATAATCTAAAGTTCCTAGAAAGAACATTTTCGGTTCAAAGGAACCCAGGTGGAAGAAAAATTCCACAAAATTAATAATGTTCATTTGGAATTAACATTTCAAATTATAGTATGTAACAGAGATTCTTAGTAATAAAATCAATATGTTAAAAGTGCAGCAACAGAAATGTAGACTAATAGAACAAAATAGAACAATTGAATGTGAGTACTATTCAGTACACCAGTCTGATAATTGACAAAGCTATTACAACACATACTTGGGAAACTTGACATCTTTAACAAATAGTACTAGGAAAACTGATTGTCCCAAGGAGAATAATAGAAATAGGCCCATATTTATTACCTTGTGATAAAACAACCTCTAATGGATCAAAAACTGTGTGCGTCCTGAAATTCTAGAATGTCAGGTAGGCATATGTTATATGTGTAGGAAAGAATTTCTGAATAGCATTTCATTTTCAGAGGAGTCATCATTAAATTTTGACAATTGGGGCCTTGAAAAATTAAGAAGTTCCTTCATGACTAAGGGAGGAGTTGAGGAAGAAGAAAGTCCACAGAGAGGAGCAGAGTCTTTCCTAGCACACCATCCAGCAAAGCATAGGTATCTCACCTCTGTAAAGAGTTAAATTGGAGGAGTCAACAAACCAAATGGCCTAATTTAAAACTGCACTACAGTTCTAAACTGACAGTACTCATTAAATAAATAAAATCCCTCAAAAGTTGTTCATTGTCTGCAACAATAGGGAAATGCAAGAAAAAGTCTTTGAAATTTCATAATCCTTCAGTGAGAATGACTGAGGTCAAAAAAACAACTGATAATATGCTAATTAAGATCTGGGGACAGGGAAACTTTCATTCACTTTTTATAGAATTCGAACCTGGTATAGACACCATGGAAATCGTTGAAGAGAGTTCTCAATAACCTAAAATTAAATCTCCTACATGACCCAGCTTTTCTGTCTTCCTTTTGTCAAGAGGACTTGACATCCTACTCCACACACATTTTCTCATCCATGTTTGTTGCTATCCTTTTCACATCAGTGGCACTCCTATACACAAAGGATAAAGAAATGGAGAGGGAAATCAGAGAAACATCACCTTTCACGATAGCCACAAACACCATAAAATATCTTGGGGTTACTCTAACCAAGGATATGAAAGACCTATTTGACAAGAACTTTAAGCCTTTGAAAAGAGAAATTGAGGAGGATACCAGAAAATGGAAAGACCTCCCCTGCTCTTGGATTGGGAGAATCAACATAGTAAAAATGGCAATTCTACCAAAAGCAATCTATAGATTCAATGCAATCCCCATCAAAATCCCATCAAACTTCTTCACAGACCTTGAGAGAGCAATAATCAAGTTTATATGGAAAAACAAAAAACCCAGGATAGCCAAAACAATCTTATACAATAAAGGAACTTCTGGAGGCATTACTATCCCTGACTTCAAACTCTATTACAGAGCTACAGTATTGAAAACAGCTTGGTATTGGCATAAGAACAGAGAAGTCGACCTATGGAATCGAATAGAAGACCCAGATACTAACCCTCAAACCTATGAACACCTAATTTTTGACAAGGGAGCTAAAGGTATACAATGGAAGAAGGAAAGCGTCTTTAACAAATGGTGCTGGCATAACTGGATGTCAACCTGTAGAAGAAAGAAATGGGAAGATTCTTAATGCTCTTCAACTGATGATAGCTAGCTAAAATGTGGTAATATATACTTTAGAATATTATTCAGTTATAACGAATGAAATTTGTGTTATGTATAAAAATTGAAAAGACAATATTGAGTGAGAAAACCTAGACGCAGAAATATAAATCACACTATATAGCTGCTGAGAGATAATGGTCTTTTATTTGTTTAATAAATTGCTGATCAGGGAGTAGTTAAGCATGAAGTATGGTCAGGGTGACCAGAAGAGGAGAATTCTGGGGAGAGGAAAGGCTCAGTTTGCGGTCATCACCCATACACAGAGGAAGCAAGATGAGAATACCTCATTGATAAAAGGTACCAAGCCACATGACTAGCAAAGGCAAAAATTATTGGCTAATGTAAGTTATAAGAGTTAATAAGAGACTTTGAAGGGGAGCTGGCAGCAGTGGCAGTGGTTTCCTGTGCTGTGGAGCAGTTGCTGCTGCTGGGCGATGATGAACTGAGTGCTTTGGCGACCTGGAGAGCGACAACATGAGGAAAGTGACCTATGATGATGTGCATATGAACTTCACTTGGGAAGAGTGGAATTTGCTGGATCCCTCCCAGAAGAATCTCTACAAAGATGTGATGCTGGAGACATACAGGAACCTCACTACTATAGAATGCATTTGGGAAAATCATAATAGTGAAGAACATTGTCAACTTTCTAGAAGACATGAAAGGATTGAGAGAATTTAAACTGGAGAGGAACCTTCAGTATATTTTCAACGTGGTAAATCCTTGACATATGACAAGCACCTTAAATGGAATGAAAGAACACATACTGAACAGAAGCCTTATGGATGTAATCAGTGTGAGAGGGTTTCTCTGTAGCTTTGGAGCCTGTCCTGGAAGTAACTCTTATAGACTAGGCTCACCTTGAACTCACAGAGATCCACCTGCCCTGCCTCCCAAGTACTGGGATTAAGGCGTGAACCACCACCACCCAGTTTTGGGTCTTTTTGTTGTGAAATAATCTCTATTTCAAATTATAAATGCATTTTTTGGCTGTATTGGGAGGGAGATTTCAGTGATTCCTCATGAAGTCCTGCGTTCACATGCTGAAGAATTCCTCTCGCTTTATTCTACAAACAGCTTTTATACCAAAACATAAACTGAGGGGTAAATATATTAGCATTCTGTCTACTAGGTAACTAGGTGAATGGCTTTTAGTCATGACCACAAATACCTGCGTGCTCTTTATGCTGCTTGCACATAGGCTTGAATCAGCATCTCTATCAGGCATCCTCCAAATTACAAATTACAAAGAAAGGAGCAGAACAATACCCTGACCCTTTGTTAGGGCAGCGATAGCCTGTCTGGAAGGCTTCGTGACCACCTCAGATGGGGCCTATGGCTTTAATGACTGGCTGCCACACCATATAGAAAATGGGCCTACAATCCACTCTCTCTTACTAATTTTAATAAAACCTGTGCTTCAGCAACAGGAGAAAACGAACACACCTGGCTTCAGCAAAGAACTCTTCATTTACCCAAATTTTTCTGTCTATGGAACAGGCATTCATATATGTAAGCCTTATGTCTTAGGCATCTGGGGAGAAGAAGCTTCAAACTCACCATTGACTGCTGATCTCTGTGAAGAAAAGACATTAATGAAGAGAGATAGTTTTGTATTTATTTAGGATAGCATGTCCTAATTCTTCCCAAATGATACCACCGACATAGAAGAACTAATTTCACCTACTTCAAGCTTAAATTCACTGTCTCTTTACATGAACCAATTCATGAAGAAAAACTCTGTAAGTGAGTTGTCAGATGCCTTGACTATTCTTTTACAGTAATGAATGCTTACAGAAGAAAAATGTTCATGAGTAAAGATTTTTTTTATTAAAATGTTGTTTAAATTGTAAAAAAAAAAGAGTTAATAAGAATCTTGAGCTAATAGGCCAAGCAGTTTATGATTAATGTAGATCTCTGTCTGTTTCTTTGGGACTGAATGGCTGTGAGATCAGGAAGGACAGAAATCTCTGGCAACAAATGGAGCCTATGTGGACAGCTAAATCCACTTAAAACCAGAGAGAGTTTAGGAAGTAATTCTATACCCAAAAGAACAGAGTTAAACAGGGCGTCTTGGTAGCAGCATAATCTCAGGTGACTCTGTTTGCTGGAGGAAAATGTGTCTCATTGGAGAGATGCTTCCTGACTTAGTTTTAGCTGCAAAAACCTTGCAGCTGTTTTAAGAGAACCTGCCAATAAACTCTTAAATGGTGTTTATGAACAGCTGACAGCATATTTCTCAGTGGTGGCACAGATCTTGAAACTTCATAGAGTTCCAGCAATAAATATGGTTCCTTCCAGTACCTCTGTCATGATGCTAGAATCTCAGAAAGCTAAGGAATGGGGTGGATCTAGCCATCAAAGCCATGGCTTTATCCCTTGCTTTATCACTTAGCAAATTAAAGACTCATGTGGTCAGAAAAAGAGATATACAGTATAGATAAATTCAAAGATGAAAAAAACTTATAAACAGTTTGCAGTGTGTTTATAATTATATGTAGGCTTGGGAGAGAAAAGAAAAAGGATAAAGTCCTTTCAAGTAGAAAGAGAGAGAGAGAGAGAGAGAGAGAGAGAGAGAGAGAGAGAGAGAGAGAGAGAGAGAGAGAGAGAGAGAGAGAGAGAGAGAGTGAGAGAGAGAGAGAGAGAGTAGTTGGATGTGGTGGCATTCACCTTTAATCCCACCACTTGGGAGGCAGATGCGGGAAGATGACTGTAAGTTCAAGGACAGCCTTGTCTACAGAGTGAGTTCCAGCTTAGCCAAAGATACAAAGAGAAACTTTGTCTCAAAAAATCAAAATTCAAAAATAGAAATAAAATAAATAAAAGTTTAAAATAAAACCACGTAAGGTACAAAGCAATGTGGCTAGCACAGACAAAAATTATGGGCTAATTTAAATTATAAGAGTTAATTAGAAGCAAGAGCTAACAGACAAACCAGTTTAGGATTATTTAGATCTCTGTATGTTTCTTTGGGACTGAATGGCTGCGGGATCAGGCACGATAGAAACCTCTGGCAACATATGTCTCTCATCATGCATGCCTACCTCTGAATGTATAAATATATACAGCATATGACCAAGGATATCTGCAAAACCTAGAAATGCAGAGAGGTGCCAAAGAGAGAAAAGAATTTCTAGAGAGAAAGATATAAGCAGGATACAAATAATGTAACGTGAGATCTGTGGGAAAATATGTCTTAAATGTAGGGCTTAAAGGAATTCAATACAGAAGAAGAGGGAAGCCAGAGAAAACTGTTACATTAAAGATGTTTCAACACATCATAATGGGTCATTATTGCTTTATTGACTTAACATTACATACAATACATCTATGTATGTAGTTTTATTGAATATATGTCAAAGCTGAAACTTCTTTGACAGTGTAGTAATATGAAAGTGAATCTGTGATAATAGGGTCATTTGTGTATAATTTCAATAAAACATACATCCTTTGTGTTTATGAAAAATTAGTATAATGTGATACATATAGTTTTAAAAACTCAGATACACCAAAACTCATACAGAAACAATACACAGACATGTCCTTGAAGGTGGAACACTGATTCTTAGCATCACCTCTTTTTTCTCCTCATAGCTGTGATCTCATCCTTCCATTGTTTGTTTTCTTAGAAAGTTAAACTACTGTACCATAATGACATTAGTGCTAATATAACTGGCAATGCAGCTTAGCCTGGGTAGAATTGTCATTGCTCTCACCATGGTTACATCCTTGGTGTAGTCATTATGTCAGCCTTACAGTAGCTAATTTCAAAGACATGTTAAGATACCCTTAGAGGCATGTTTGTACAGATGTTGAAATTTTCTCTTTCAGAAGGCACAGCAGTGTTGGCAACATGATACAGACTTTATTGGTTATCTTGTGAGTACTTCCTTATTATTTCAGTGTTTCTCCATTCATGATTCTGAATAATTCTCCTGGAACTGAACAGTAATTATTATATGGTATTTATTCTGTTTTATGGATACTTGTCCAGTACAAAACTATGGTTGATGTCTGATGTTAAGCTCAAGGTATTTTCATTTTTCAAGTCTAAACAATATTCTGGTGTCATATCAGAGTCATAATTGATTTTTTTTAAATTTCATTCTCAGAACTAGACAAATCTAGAAAAACAGATAAAGGAGTTTTTTCCTATGATTCTCAGGTACTGTCATGCATGTGCAGAGGAAGGGACTTTGAAATAACAACACTGAATACTGTAGGCTTCTAGCATTCCCCAAAGTGTACAGATTCTTGAGACCCAGGAACAATGCATCAGTTGAATAATTATTTTTAAAAAGCTAACAAATATATGTATGGTTATTTCCCTGCATTTGTGTCTGTGTACCACTTGCGTATCAATGACTGACAGAGTTCAGAGGAGGGTATTGGATGTCTGAAAACTGGAGTTTCAATTTCTTGTGAACCAAATAGATTCTGGTTAATTCATTCTTTGTTCTTCAGAAGAGCAGCCAGTGCTCTTAACTCTTCAACTACTTCTTCAGCACTTAGATTCTTGACTTATAATGGATAACTTTTCTTGGTTTATTATTCTTAGCTGAAATATTTATTTAATCCCACCTTATTATTTTTTAAAATTCTCATTGCACCATCTTCTGGATCCCGGTATCCGCTGAGAAGCTTGTTTTCAAGTGATAAGGAAACACATAAGTTATTTAGTTCTTTTCTTTTCCAGACTCAAATATTTTCTCTGCTTCCTCAACCTCTAAATTTGGTCATAACATAACTAAGAATAGATTTCATTGAATTTTGAATTATTTATGTCTAGGGACCTCATGTTGTTTTATATGTGGACATTTCATGGATGTATTTAATCTAATATTTTAGCAGATCACTAGAGTATATGAAATGAGAAAGCATCCATACATTAGAGCTCATATGGTTTGACCTGAGGTCACTAAGGCAAGTCAGATGAAAGTTCCATCTGTTTGGCACTGGCCTTTTAATATCTGTACTCATAGATAGTCTGTGCATGAGTTGTCTTAGGGATGAACACTAGTGTCAAAGTAGTATTTACTGAATTTTACTCTCTCAGGAATTGTCAAAGTATGACAGGCATGTTTAAAACCTACTCTATCAACAGCCAAGATTTGGCTTATAGGTCAAAACTTTAGCTTTTACAACTGAGCATGGGTCTCTGGCCAATGCCAAGTAGTTCTGGAAACTTCTTAAGTAAACTCTACCCTTTGAATAAGGTGCCTTTGTTTTCTCCGTTGGGGTAAATCTCTCTGTAGTAGGCAGGTACAGTTTTGAAATTAAAGTGTAATCATGTACTGGCTCTTTTTTAGTGTTGCTCAGCACATAGGATCCTACCCATTCTGCTGCTGCAGATTGGAAGAATGGGGAGGGCATTCATTTAGCCATCTAAATAAAGAAATTTAAATACTAGTAATGATACCACTAGTAACAATTAATTGTTACTGTGCACCTTGTACCAGGAAGTCTCTGGTTGATTCAATTGTGATGTAGGAGGGTCATCTGTCTATGTTACTTTCATTGGTTAATAAAGAAACTGACTTGGCTTTTGATAGGACAGTAGCCTAAATAGGTGGAGTAGACAGAACAGGATGCTGGGAAGAAAAAAAGCAGAGTCAGGCAGACGCCATGCTTTTCCCAAGACAGACGATGGTTAGAAACTTCCTGGTAATCCACCACTTCAT